CTTCAGATAATATAAAATATAAGGAAGACTGAGTATAGCTATCAGCATTCTCTCTATCAATTTCATAACTAATTTCATTTTCATTGCAATACTCATTTCTTTGCTGATCTTTGACAATAAATAACTGTGGGGCTGATGCTGAAAGTTGGGATCTTTTTTTAAATCTATAAAACCTACTAAAATTTACATATACTTTTTATTAATAAATACTACCCCTAACTCTAACCTAACTATGAAAAAAAAGACCATAAAAAAGGCCCTAAAAATTTTTACAATTTTATAATAAAATATAAAAAATTTTTAGTATCATCCGATTTCAACATCAGCCTCCACAATAACTGTTTTCTATTTGTCTTTTTTAATTCCATTTCTATACCATTATTTTTTACTAGCATTTTTCATATTATCTACAGACTTTAGTTGCAGATACTTTTTTGATTTGTTTTATTTAAACCAGTTGCTTTCTTGGTGAAAAAGATTATTCATTTCATCATGAGGTCTTTGATTATATATTATATAATATTAATATTCTAATGCAAAATAAAAAATATTTATAGACTATAATTTTGCATATGTTGTACATACATCAAATTAAAATTTAATCCTGCAAATGCTTATTCGAAGATTTTTTTCTAATCCTAATAATATTTGGTATTTAAATACAAATTTTAAATATTAATTAATTACTTGAAATTCAAAATACTTATATATGTGTACTTAATTTATAAACTAGTAATTCTTAAATAATCTACTTTAAACTAATTATTATAATCTAATTATAAGTAATTTCAGGATTTTTTTTATTGTTAAAACAAAAAAAATCATATATATATTAATTTGATTCTTTTGTTAATTACCTGCTTATTAAATAATAAATCAAATATTTAATAGTTAATCTTAGTAATGATAAAAACTTTAGAATTTGTACAATCTTATAATTAATATAATTTTTTATCTTTCTATAATTATTAGCTATCACCATTATTTAATATGTATTTAAAATATAACAAAAACAATAGCTTTGCATCATAACAATAACTTTATCACCTTTTTCAAGTTTTAATTGTTTTCTGTGTTTAATTGAAACTTGCATCCCCAAATTATTTATACCTTTTTTAAGTAAATAAAGTTTCTCAACCATACCGATAGTAAGTATTTTAGTATTTAAAACTTAAATTATATAGAGACTAGGATTTTTCAATATCAATTTCATTCATTGATTAATAAAAGTTTGAAGTATCCACTCAAAAGACTCATGACTTAGAAAATTGAAACTTTGTAAATCTATAAAATAATAAAGAAATTCAACCAACTTGAGATTTTTTATTGCTATTATATAATATATCTGATATCCTATATATATATATGTAATATACTTTCATACGTATATACGTATTTACGTATTAGTTTAACTTTGATACGTATGTATACCTTTAAATTAAAGTTTATGATCTACATTGCAGATGATAATCTACTTTTACACTGTTGCTTAATGTTCTAATTTCTCTCAATCTTTAATTTTCATTTAAGTTTTTTTCAAATTTTTATTTTTTTCAATCTTTTTTCTTTCGATCTTTTGCTCTTTTTTTCAAATTTTTTTTTTTTTTAGTTTTTTGTCCTTTTTTACTAATGTTTTTCTCTCTTTTGTATGTCTTGTGCTTCACTAGGAAGAACTAATTAGAACTGGGATCAAATATTAAACCCAGAATTGGTATCAAGATAAGTACCAATTTATATTTTCTTCTTTGTCCTTCGTTTTGTCATTTCTTTTTGGAGTTGTTACTAATAATTCTTTTTTTTAGGTCTTGTATTTTATACTGATAAGGGCTAATGGAGACTGGGATTGAATATTGAACCCGGAATTGGTACTAAGATAAGTACCAATTTATATTTTCTTTGTCTTTCGTTTTGTCATTTCTTTTTGGAGTTGTTACTAATAATTCTTTTTTTTTTTTAGATCTTGTATTTTATACTAAGAATGGCTAATTGAGACTGGAATTGAATATTGAAACCGGAATTGGTACCAAGATAATACCAATTCATATTTTCTTCTTTGTCATTCGTTTTGTCATTTCTTTTTGGAGTTGTTACTAATTCTTTTTTTTTAGATCTTGTATTTTATACCAGCAAGAGCTAATAGAAACTGGGATTGAATATTAAACCCAGAATTGGTACCAAGATAAGTACAAATTCATATTTTTTTCTTTGTCTTTTGTTTTGTTGGTTCTTTTTGAAGCTGTTACTAATTTTTTTTAGATTTTGTATTTCACACGAGGAATGGCTAATTGGAACTAAGATTGAATATTAAACCTGAAATTGGTACCAAGATAAGTACCAATTCATATTTTTTTATTCATCTTTCATTTTGTTGTTTCTTTTTGGAGTTGTTACTAATAATTTTTTTTTTTTAGGTCTTGTATTTTACACCAGTAAAGGCTAATAGAGACTGAGATTGAATATTGAACCTGGAATTGGTACTAAGATAAGTACTAATTCATATTTCCTTCTTTGTCTTTTATTTTGTCGTTTCTTTTTGGAGTTGTTACTAATAATTTTTTTTTTTTTATATCTTGTATTTTATATCGGGAATGGCTAATTGGGACTGGGATCAAATATTAAACCCAGAATTGGTACTAAGATAAATACCAATTCATATTTTCTTCTTCATCTTTCGTTTTGTTGTTTCTTTTTGGAGTTGTTACTAATAATTCTTTTTTTTAGGTCTTGTATTTCATACCAGTAAGGGCTAATAGAGACTGGAATTAAATATTAAACCCAGAATTAGTACTAAGATAAGGACCAATTCATATTTTCTTCGTCTTTTATTTTGTCATTTCTTTTTGGAGTTGTTACTAATTTTTTTTTAGGTCTTGTATTTTACACCAGAAATGGCTAATTGGATCAGGATTGAGATATTGAACCCAGAATTGGTACCAAGATAAGTACCAATTCATATTTTCTTCGTCTTTTATTTTGTCATTTCTTTTTGGAGTTGTTACTAATATTTCTTTTTTTTTAGGTCTTGTATTTTATACTGGGAAGGGCTAATGGAGACTGGTATTGAATATTGAACCTGGAATTGGTACCAAGATAAGTACCAATTTATATTTCCTTCTTTGTCTTTTATTTTGTCATTTCTTTTTGGAGTTGTTACTAATAATTCTTTTTTTTTTAGATCTTGTATTTTATACCGAGAATGGCTAATTGGGACTAGGATTGAATATTAAACCCGGAACTAGTACCAAGATAAGTACCAATTCATATTTCCTTCTTTGTCTTTCATTTTGTCATTTCTTTTTAGAGTTGTTACTAATGCTTTCTTTTTTTAGATATTGTATTTCACAATGGGAAGGGTTAATTGGAACTGGGATTGAATATTGAACCCAGAATTAGTACCAAGATAAGTATCAATTCATATTTTCTTCTTTCATTTTGTCATTTCTTTTTGAAGTTGTTATTAATTCTTTTTTTTTTGATCTTGTATTTTATACTGAGAAGGGCTAATTGGAACTAGAATTGTGATATTGAACCCGGAATTGGTACCAAGTAAGCACTAATTTATATTTTTTTCTTCTTTTGTTTTGTTGTTTCTTTTTGAAGTTGTTATTAATTCTTTTTTTCTTGTTTGGAGTTTTGTGTTTTGTTGGAAAGGATTAATGAGGACCGGAATTGTTATTTTGAATTTAGAAAACTAGAATTTGGGATTTAAAAAGAAATTTTAGTACAAAAAATTAAATTTGTAATTAATAGTTTAGTTGTAGTTTATTAAAATATATAGAATTTCATAAAAATATAAAATATTTTAATAACTAATGGTTATTTATTATAAAATTTATGTATTTGATATGTTTGGTTGTATATATGTAAATTCATTTTATTAAAAATTGTATATTTAAAATTGAGTAAATTTTTAAAAAATTTTTTTATCAATTAAATTAACGTTTTGTAATTAATTATATATATATATTTTTGTACAAATTTTTAAAAAAAATTTTATTAAATATGTAAAATTTATTTTGTTAAAAATTTTTGCAAATTTTTATATATTTGAAATTTTGTACAAATTTTTGAAAAAATTTTTTACAGATATATGTAATTTATTTTATTAAAAATTTTTTTTTTTTTTCGGTGTTAAAGTGAGGTCTTGCCTCGTATCTTTATTAGATGTTAAATTTTGCCTTATATGGCTACATATAATCTTAAGAATACTAAGCTTAGACAATTTTATTTACGACCTAAACCTACCAGAGTATGCTATATTCCCACTACATATTGGGTTATACCTGGATTTGATGTTCAAACTATATCTAGTTACCTACCGCATTCACCCCATGT